TATGTTATTTATATATATATATTTCAATACATTCAACAAATGACATGCATCCAGAATAGATATATTTTTGAAAACCACAAGTCAATACAAAAGATAGTCCGTCCAATAGAAAAGTGGGCAAGAACCTGAAGAGACATGTAACAAGAGGATAGTCAAAAGGCAATAATCATATGTAAAATGCTCGATCTCATTAATAATCAGTAAAATGAAAACTAAAGCCACAATGAGATACCACTACATGCCTGCCAAAATAAAATGAAAAAGACAAGACACTACCGAGTGTAGGGCAACTGGAAGTTTGGAAAACTGGCAGTATCCAGTAAAGTGGAACATATGTACATACTGTGACCCTGGAATTCCACTGTTAGGCAGAAATGAGTACCTATGTGCACCAAAATTCATGTACTAGAATACTTGAGGCAGTACTATTAATAGTTCCCAAACTGGGAATGAACCAAACATCCATGTGATAAATATATGGTTTATTTATGCAATGGAATACTATACAGCCATAAGAAGGAACCACATACAAATACATGCGACAAAAATCTTACAAACATAATGTACAGCAAATAAGCCAGATACGAGAATACATACTATTTGATTCCATTTATATTATGTCCAAAAACAAACAAAACTAATCTATGTTCTTAGAAGTCAGACAGTGGTTACCCTTGGGGAGGTAGTAAGTAGAAGGGAACATGAAGGGGGCTCCTGCAGGGGATGGTAAGTTTGTTGATTGAAGTGATGACTGTATTTGTGTTCCATTTGTTAAAAGCCAACCTGTGTGTGTTATACTTCAATTAAAAGTTAAAACAAAATGATTTGCCTCTGCCTGGGTAATCAACTCAGACTGAAGAAATGATTCCTTCTCTCTTGGCCTCTCCCTTTGGCTATAGTCACACTTGTGCTCCCACCTCTTGGTACTTCCCAATGGTGAGGGTGGGAAAAGAACCATCCCCCACCCCCTAAGATGCAGACTAAACTAGATTTGCTATAGGACTGGTTGCTAAAGGAGCAGGTCTACCAAAATGTGAAGTCAAAGTCTATCTTTGCCCTTCTGCCTGTTGATACTTTTTACCCTTGGTCCCTAAGTACACTCAGATGCCCTCTTGCTCTCTCTGCCCCAAAGCCTCTTAGCAGGATGGATTCTCCTCTCAGGGGACACTTATCAAACAAGACACTTATCAAACAAGACTGATACTCAGGGGACAGTATCAAAGGTTGTTTTGTTTTTTTTTTAAGATTTTGTGTGAGAGAGAGAACACGCATGTACAGAAGCGGGGTGGGGGGGCAGAGGGAGAAGCAGGCTCCCCTCTGAGCAGGGAGCCCAACACAGGGCTCGATCCCAGGACCCCAGGACCATGACTTGAGCTGAAGGGAGACACTTAACCGAATGAGTCACCCAGGCGCCCCAAAATAAGTGTCAGAAGTTTGAATCAGAAGGTTGGAGCACCAAGCAGTTAACTTATCAAGTTGTTGAGTAGTGAATGGGTGAGAAGAGGGGTATAACATGAGATTGGATGGCAGGCCTAACTTGTGGGATATGGGTATTCAAATCTTGGCCCTGCCTTGGGCAACTTTGTACTCTCTGTGCTCAGCTCCATTATTAAAACAGGGATAACAGTGCTTAGCTCATATAGTTATAAGGATCAAAATGAATTAACACATATAAAAGATTTAGAAAAATAACTGACCTAAGGAGCTTAATAAATGTTGTCAATCTGGCTTTATCCAAGGTATGCTGTCCCCCAAGGAAGCATGGCCCAGGATAAATCTAGGGAGCAGAGGGCTGTGGGGCTAACCCAAAAGTCTCCCAAATTGAGGAGGGGAATTTTGGATGTCCCACACTTGCTTAGTATTGCAGTGAGGAACAGGAGCCCATGCTTCAGGATTACATGGGAGCAGAAGAGAAATTGAGAAGGTGAAGAGCTGGCTGTCCCCCAGCCTAGTCACATATATCACTAAATAAATAAGTGTAAGAGCCACTACACCAACTGCCTTCAAGGAATCAGGAATGTTGCTCTGTCAGAGGGCAAAAAATGAAGAAACTTATCAGTTATGTAGTATTTGACATAACACCATCTAGGGAGGTGGTAACATCATATACCTATGCTTTCTATTTGACCAAAGGGCCAGTAAATACCACAGGAATTTCGGTACAATTATTATAGGGCCCTGGTCCCTGGATCTGGCCTTACTTTGAAGACCCAGAGATGTTGGCAGTAACTGGCTCACAATACATACAAAGCCTGAAGTAGACAACAAAAAGTCAGTTTATCAACAATGAAAAATAATATCCAGTAGCTAGAATATTCACACTGGCAGACCTACAGAAGAAACCACATCTTCAATAGGATACTTGAAGACTTAGCAAAATAACATAAATTAAGCTAAGACAGACTGAAGAATACATCCCCATAAGAGCTAATGTGACTGGAGATCTGGACCTCTGATAGCTGACAATGCTTTTTCTACTTCTCCACTGCTGACCAACATTGCACGCTGCCTCAAACCCCATCACTTTGCACACCTCTGATGCCCTATTAATGCTATTAACATGAATTTAGGCAGCAATCACATCTCCTCAATTTTCAAGTTTGGGGATAAGGTAGGCTAGGAAACTCTACTGGTAATCTACCTTTCGGAGTCATTACGCACATTAGTTAACAGAAGTCAAAGTCTCTAATCAATGCCTTCTCTTCCTGAAGGCAAATTTCTCTGGGGAGTCACACTGGAACCAGAGGCTCAGTGGGCACTGGAAGAACAGTCATTACCTGCAGACAGCTGCGGTGTGCAGGTTAGGACACCTCCCCTTTGGATGCCAGTTTGTCTCCCTGAACATGATGGCTACATGGTGCCTCTCCTTTAGTGTATTCTAGGCCCAAAGAATTCAACTTGAGCATTGTTATACCACAATCCAGCCATGTTCCCAGACCAAGCCTCCCAGTCCGCAGGTTGTGTCCTCTCTACAAATGGCTGGTTTGATCTTCATTTCTTTTTCATCCTTGGAGGACAAACTGGAGTGCCTGTGTTCACTCCCACAAACTTCACATCACTGACCTGATAGTAAAGAGCCATGCCCCTTTCATAACAGTTACAAGTCTTGAATGGAAAATTCCCAAACACTGAGACTGTGGGTGTGGTGGTGGTGGGGGGAGTGTGTATCCTCCCAGCTTTTACCTTGGTGATGGGCAGGATCCACCTTTTCCTGAAAGTTCTTCCTGAGTCACTGCCCAGACACTTAGCTGCAGCAGGAAGGCATCCGGGAGTGAAGAACAGAGGTGGCTAAGAGAACAATAAAGCTCAAGCACAAGGGCAATGCCAGAACTCTGCATCCTCTGGGTGCAGCTCCATGTGCCTTCTGTACACACAAGAGCTTTGCTCGCTGCGACCGAAGACATTGGCTCAGTCCACTTGGGTTTCCTTTACTCCTTTCCACCCCTTCAGTGAAGGCCCCGGGGGACTCCACCTTCCTTTTCTGCTCTGTACTGTCACCAATCACTCCATCCTTCAGGGGATCCTTCTCTCCCACAAATCATCCATGGGGTGGAAAGAGCAAGAGTCTAAAAATGTTTTATTACTTGCTTAAAATTGGCTAAGACCATTACATGAAAATGATGATAGGAAATAATAAAGAAGCCACATCCTCTATCAAAATACTTTCTGGAACTTCCCCCAGAATTAAAATTAACCTGGGTGTGTTTCTAACACTAAGAGCTCACCATTCCTACCGCCCAGCACCATTACCAAACCTTTGTTAGCTAACGGCAGCCACCATAGTCAGAAATACTATTATTTATTTCCCCAAATGACGTATGGCAAACCACCACTAAGGCTTTAAAAAGACTTAATTTTTGTAAACTGGTAACAGTTTGGAGATTGACAAGTTGCACAAGAAACAAATTAGGTAACCCGTGTTCTCTTGTTAAAAGGTCTATTATTCTAACACCATGAATAATCAACATATATAAACAAATTAAGAAACCTCACGTTTTAAACAAATACTCTGGATAATTACAGAAAGTAATGTCTTTTAAATCCATGCATAAATAAATGATTTTTAGAAGAATATGCAATAATTGCTCTGCTTTGTTCTTTGTAAGTTTTTCACTACACCTAAACACTGGCAAGTTTTTTAAACAGTAATGTAAAGTAAGGACAACAGTTCCCCTAGGTGTCAGTTTTGGAAGAGGAGTCAAGCAAGAAGCCAGGGCTGAAAAAATGGTTAACAGTTCTGAAATGGCAAATACAAATTCTGAGTGGTGATATGCTGCATCCTACTGCACAAAGTATGATCTTGTAATAGAAGAGCAGGTACTGCTTCTCTCGGGGCTGAAGGGGAGTAAAGGATCTACACAGCACACAGTGCCAGTAAGCTCTATCTAATGTCAGGGAGAATTCATCTGGTCTGCTTTTCAGCTTCCTTTAGTTTCATCCTTCTGTTGCAGTTCAATACATGTATCTGAGGAAAATGTGCAATAGGTTCGTATGGGACAGGTTTTCATTAAATCGTGGAAAAACAACTATGGCATTTTTGTTCAATGAAGAAAGGGAAATCTGTCTAATTACATTCTTGATAACCAGAAACATTAATTGCTATGGAAGGAAATTCTTAAGATAAAGCCCCTAAAATCCAAAACAATTTTATGCTGGCATATAAAACATTCTAACCAGTTCCAGAATTAGATCATATTAGCAAATAAAGTAGTTAGTATTTATAATGAAATGTAATAACTGGCTAAAATTCTAGGTAAATAACTTTCGTGGCCATCTAAAATTTTGTTTTAAACTTACAACTTTAGTGATATATATTGAACACATTCAATTGTACAGAACACAATCCATTTAATCTTGAAAAACACTATATGACAAAACTACAGAAATGAGCACAAACCCCCACAAACCAGTATGCTCCCTCATCAATTCTACAACTGCAATGAATTTAATACTGTAAACAAACACTGAACAAATCAGAGCACTATGGAAAGAGTTCAGCAGCTCTAACAAGTCATACTATAATTCTTATGCACTAAGAGAGTAGTGAGGCAAATGGAATTCTTAGAACATTACTTAAAAATAGATTTTTAAAGACAAAGGTCCCAACTCATTCTTATATACACACACAAAAGTTCATCTGTCATAGACAGCAAATGTTGAATTTATACACTGGAGTTTCCGGCAGCATCCTGCACATTTAGAATAATTAAAACAAACAAACAGAAAGTTGTCAAATCTAGGATGGATCATTCAAATCTGTACAGGATGGAACATAGCTGTCCTGGTGCTACTGCGTATGTGGCTCACTGCTGCTTCTCAAATGCAAAAACCAAGTAAATACCTAAAAAGAAAATAATAAAAATTAGAGTTTGGTTTCTCATATCCATAGGCTAAACAGAACAATTTCAGTCCTGTTTGGAATTGGTGAAAATTCTCAAGCTTCTGAAGGGAAAAATCCCATTATTTCTAAGAGTTCTCAATTATTTTGAGTCATACTTAAGCAGATATGGGGTCATAGCTGTTTACCTGAAACAAATATCCACTTACTATAATACTCAGTGACATTACAGCTCTTGAGAAAACCAACTTAACAGCTCTAAAAATCTCTAAAAACAGTTTGAGATAAGAAAAATTAAAAGTTATAAAGGCAAAGAAAATTAAAACTAAAAAATCTTATAACTTAATTCTTTTTATCTGGAGCAAGACAGGTAGAATAACTGCACTACCATGATTACTTCTGGCATGGTTATCTAGATTTTCTATTCAGGGGGGAAAAAAACTAGTAAGAATTATAAGGAACATATACAATGTGCAAGTTAAAATTCATCCAGTTATCCAACTGCTGTATTGTAAGGACTGATAAGGAAAGTGAGGCAAAAGCTACTTGATAATTGTTGCTTAGAGATATTTATCTGGCCCCAACAGTGATATTCCATTCCCAAGAATACTCTCCCTTAAATATGATTTCCTGCTTTGGCATGTGTTCACGCAAAGACATCTAAGTGCATCTATGGTTCCTCATTCTGGATCACCTTGAAGTTCAAACCTATTACATCTTCTAATAAGACACTAATAGATTTTATGGTAAGCAAACACCTGAAACAATGACAAATCCTCAAAACATCACGAGGATGTTCAGTGTGTACGCTAGGACATTCAGTCAGCAAGTCAAGATAGTAGGCCATGTACCTCTGTGTCCTCCCTTCTTGAGTTAACTTTTGAACAGGGTACGATGAATGACTGCAGACCCTGTAAAAACCTCCCAATCCTCTAGCTTTTTCCTCAACCTGTCCAGGAGTATCACACCAGTCCTTCCAAAATGCTACTTTGGTAATGCTATTGTCTGTTCCTTATCTACCAGTTCCCAATTTCTTTTAGGAGAAATGAAACATTGCTGGCAGTAGATAGATGAACAGAGGACAGTCAGGGTGATATCAACACGGTATATTCTTCTACAAGACAAGAAAGCAAAGCAGTCCAAGACATTCACAAGTATGTTACAAGACTTACGAACAGCCAGCATTATTTAGCTTGGCCCACACTCCAAGCGATCCTTCTGCAGTCTAACCTTGGCAAACCCAACCCAAACATATTGGTACCTACTGCAAACAACCCAGCAGTCCTCACCTGCCCTAAATCTAGGGTCACTTAAAACCACTAAGATGCAATGTTTGAATTCAGATCAGCAATAAATTTCTTTTCTTTCTAACTCAAACATTCTGAAAATCTCACTCATATAAAATGCCTTCCGTGCAGGCATATCAACTGGGATTTAAAGAATTAAATCTTGAACCACTTCTAAAAGCAAATTGGCAACAATTCTCTACTTTCCTTTCACATTTAAAGAAACTTCTAGAGGAACAGCAGGTTCTGGTAATAGGAGCTTAATGACTAGACCAGTAGGAGTTTGAAGTATAGCTTCTTGAACTTATTAGACTTTGACACCAGGCAAGATACTCTCCAGTCCAGAGTCCTCCAGCTTAGAATAGTGTAATTCATCAAAGAACACACTGATCCAGACATGCTAGATCCTGGCTGCAATGTGACCACTGTTCCTTTCCTACTGCTTTTCACATCTCTAACCCATCTCCCTCCATGGTCTGGGGGGCATCTAATTCATCATCCGCATGCTACCACTAAGTCCACACTAAGGTACAGAAATACAGTTCTAAACTACAGCTAGTACCACCATCACTACCTGTGACCAAAGCTGTTTTCCTTACATCATACTTTGGAACTGGCAGGCTATCTAAGACAACTGTCCCATCTCAGTCTAGGAAAATGAAATGTACAGGTTTAGGCACACATTTCCCAGTCTGTTGGTCCTCTAATCCCATTTCCACTAAGGGTAGCAATATTCTGAGACAGATGGGCTCAACATGTTGGCTCTATTTGTGTTCTTTCCTTTTCCTCTCTCTCCAGTTCGGCAAGTCCTAAGAACAATCCTTTCACACATGAGGCCATGGTTACTAGTATGAATCACCTGGGTTAGCTCTGTGACCTCAGATAAGTTATTGAAGTGCTTTCCTATCTGTGAAAAGGAGATATTAGAAAAGGTAGTCTACCCCTAAATTTGTGAGGATTAAATGAGTTACAACATATTAAAAGTCTCCAGTCATGCTTGAGCACATGTTAAATACTCAATTATATCAAGTATTACTATTTTCCAGATTTTTACTACTTTTCCTTAGGCTCTCCTTCATCTTTTTTCCCCATTATAGAAATTTCAGCACTTAAAACAGTTTGCCTAGTACTGCATTTATTTGTGTCTGTTTCTTCCATTAGACAGTATACATCTAGAAAGTAGAGATTACAACGGTTTACTTTTTTTATCCCCCAAAGCTCTTTCACAGAACTTTTCACAATACTAAACACTTATCAAATGGATTGTCCCTGATTACCACTTACGCCTTCAACACAATCAATAAATACTTAAATGAACAGGGGGAACTACCTTTTATGTCCTCAGGGCAGCCATATAAAGGTATTATCGTCATCTTAACAATGAGGGTCTGGGCTTTCACTTCCTCAACATCCACGGACTTCACAGATTTGCCAGGCCTCTGACTTCTCTTCCAAAGACAGGCACCTCACTTCAGAATGTCTCCGTACCAGGCCCTTCCCAATCATACATCCCTCTAAAATATCCTGCTCATTGCTGCTTCACTAAATGGTCCAGTACTTATTAATTATGTCTTTGTTGTCAACATCAGAGTGGCTAAAAACAAAATACATGGTAGTGTTCTATAAGCCAAAATTTCCAACAGAAATCTGAGGTAAATAGCAAATACAGATAGCTATGTAGTAATGAGTAGGCAATGAAAATGTTTAAGAATGCTCACGAAAGTTTATGTTAAGGAACATCCTGCATATATTTTCTCTTGGCACTAAACAGCTGTGCAAGAAAGGGGGCGTTAGACATACATAGGGATTCTACGTCAACATAAACACATACACCCTAATATGTGTTGGAAAAATTCCAGAGTTTTCAAATTATAACGATCACTCTGAAATGATCTTTGAAAATGTCAGTAAATCTATACTGATGATATACTCACTTGTGGCTTCCCACTCTGACTTACTTAAGGTTCCCTGAAATTAAAAAAAAAAAAAAAAGAAAGAAAGAACATTTTAGATTGAATATGGAAGTACATAAATGCATATTTTTCAATACTGGACACAAGTGCCCAAACACCCCTACTTCGCTATAAATACAAGTTGACCCTTGAACAACACAGGTTTGAACTGTGCAGGTATACTTATACGTGTATTTTTTTCAACAAACACAATTCTGTAAATGTGTTTTCTCTCCCTTATGATTTTCTTAATAACATTTCTCTGGCTTACATTTTTGTAAGAATACAGTATGAAATACATATAACATACAAAATATGTATTAATTAACTGATCAATTATCAGAAGGCTTCTGGTCAACATCTGGCTATTAGTAATTAAGCTTTCAGGGAGTTATAAGTTATAGGCTTACTTTTGACTGCATGGGGAGTCACCCCCACACTGTCCAAGGGTCAACTATACACACAATTTACTGTTAATATTATTGTGATCTAAATACGTAAAAGAAATCAATGAGATTTTCATGTCATCCTCTGAATTCTGCTCTCCTGCCTAATTCTCTAAACCACTGATTCTCAACCAAAGGGTGAATTTGTATAAAAGGGGTATTTGTGCATGTCTATAATGGGAAAAAGCATCTATCATATATTTTTAACTTGGAAAATGAAAAAATAAAAAAGCCTATCTTGAAACATCCAATAGCATTATAGGAGGAAATAAGATTTTTGTGTTTTTACAAAGGAATCACAAAATCCGTATCATTCAAAGGAAATAAATTCTGTTTAAAATAGTTACCAAAATATTAAAAAACATATTGACATAGTCATATATATGCCGCTTTGCACATGCACTAACAAGATAGAGTAACTAATGTAATTTTGAAGAAGTGATGAATGTAAATGATAGTCTAAGATGTCAGCAGAAATGTTATGTAAATATCTGTAATTTCTATTGATAACAAAGTCACAGCTATATCTAATACCATTGTGGTACTATTGCACTCTTAATTAAAGAAAGTGTGAACTTCCATGCAGAAGTCAGTGAAAATGGAGATGTAATTTTTCTTCACCTAAGTTCATGAGCCCGTGAATTTTATCTATGGAACATGATGAGTCAGCAGTGCCTAGGTTAAGACATAATGATATAGACAAAACCTCTCCATCCAAGCTTGTAACCGTCTCCCAACCCTTACTGCCTCAGATATAGCACTCCATTCTCAGTATTGAAATATTTTACTTTCTATTCTATGATTCTAAAAAGGGGGAAAAGACTAACATGTATCTGATTTGTAAACCAATGAAATAATTTCGTAGGTTTCCATATAACATAACCTTTCTTTTCGTTTTCTATAAAACATGCTATACATGAAAACTTACCAAAGGTAACCTTACTTGACTGTTCTTCATGTACTCTACTGCATGTTCATAGTCATCCACCTTCTCGGAGGCAAGTTTGGAATTCTCGTTTGCTGGATACGGCTAGGGAAGCAAGTGAAATTCCTAGTTAGGAAACTAAATGAAACTTGTAATTCAGATATAAAAACACTAAGTCACTAAAATAAAATAATTAAGAAAATAATCCTTAAGTATTATTTTAGGAATATAAACTATACATACTTTTGAAATATGAAAAAAAAAAAGGGACACAGGGATCCTCTCCTAACAAAGTAGCTGTTATCGATACTCAACTTTGATGATAATCATAGAATATTTACAGTTGCACAAAACTACCATTTATTTAATCACCTCCAAGGACCACTTAGCAGCAAACACTTGCATCTCCCTGGCTCCCAGTGAAAGACTTTTTCTGTTATAACACAAAACTGAAGGAAATTATTATGAAAAGAGCTAAATATTAATTTAAACATTATGGTGATATATTAGCCATCAGAAGCAGGAACAGAAATTAAGAATAATACAAATGAAAAACTCAAAATCCTGGGGGAAGATGGTGGTGGAGTAAGAGGCTCAGAGGCTCACCTCATCCCGTGAATTCAACAAAATAACTACCAAATCATCCTAAATACCCTAGAAATCGATCTGAAGACTGGTAAAACAAACTCTACAACTAAAGGTAGAGACGAGGCCACACTGAAGAAGGTAGGAAATGCAGAGACATGGTTTGGGAAAAACAGATTGTGGCCAATCTGGTGGGAAGGAAGCTGTAGTCGCGGGGAAGGGTGAGAAACACACCAACACACAGGGGAGCATACGGGGAAAACAAATCCTCATAGTATTTGGCTTGGAAAGTGAGAGGGCCTGAATTTCCTGAGTTCCTGCAACCAATGGGGCTTAAAGCCTGGTCAGTGTGCGTGGCTCTAGGAGAGCACTTGGAGGAGGACATTGGGGCTGCTATTGGAGAAAAGGCAGGGCAAACAGTCTGCAGACATATAACATGGAAACAGCAATCTGAAGAATGCCTGGGGCACATAGTGGGAAGGTTAGTTGGTCATCTTGGAGCATGCCCCAGAGAGACAGCAATCAGAGACCCCCTCTAAGAATAAAGGAACTGGCTGGCACCATTTCCCTTCATGGTTCCTCAGCATAAACACCAGCCATCTGCAGGAACCAGTGCTCGTGAACACTCATTACCTAAATTGCTTAAGACAATCCCGACCCTGCTTACACTCTGGTGGAATGGCCCTTCCCGGGCACCCTTGCCTCAGTCCCAGTGTGGTGGGCCCCCTTCCACAGAAGATGGGCCCAAACCCCTACCCACACCACATCTCCCTACCTAGGAGTTTTGCAGGGCCTCAGTTCCAGCAGCAGTGGCAAGAAGTCCCATTTCACAAGCAGAAAAGAGCACATCTTGATAAAATACACATTCAAGCCAGGGAACAAACACTGCTCACAACAGGCAAAAGCAGCCTCTACAGATGACTCACCTAAAGGACAGAGAGACCAGGACACCAATAGCAGAGCACACAAAGCACATGCTGGAGACACTACTGGACACACCAGGCCCTGGGGACCAAAGGGCACTACATGGCAGAGTACTACAGGACCTCTCTTCATATAGCCATTATCCTCAAGAACAGGAGATGTAGCTAACTTTCCTAACACACAGAGACACAGACAAAATGAGAAGACACAGGAATCTGTCTCAAATGAAAGAACAGGACAAGGCCATGGCTGGAGATCTAAGAGAAAGAGATATAAGTACATGCTTGATAGAGAATTTAAAGTACTGATCATAAGGATACTCACTTGACTTGAGAAAAGAATGGAGGACATCAGTGAGACCATTAACACAGATAAGGAATAACAGAGATAAACGACTTAAGAAACGAAATGAGAAACAAGCTTGATGGAATGAACAGCAGGCTGAAAGGAGCAGAGGAACAAATTAATGACCAGAAGACAGAGTAATGGAAAATAATCGAGCTGAACAAAAGAGAAAAAAAAAAGAAATATATAAAACAAGAATAAACTTAGGGAACTCAGTGACCCCATGAAACATAATTAACATTCATATTATAGGAGTCCCAGGACATGAAAAGGGGCAGATAATTTATCTGAAGAAATAATAGCTGAAAACTTCCCTACTCTGGGGAAGGAAGCAGATATGCAGATCCAGGAGGCATGAAGAATCTCCATCAAAATCAACAAAAGCAGATCCACACCAAGACATGCTGTAATTACACTCGCAAAACACAGTAATAAAGAAAAAATATTAAAAGCAGCAAGACAAAAGAAGTCATTAACTTACAAGGGAAAACCCATAAGGCTAGCAAGGAGATTTTTCAACAGAAACTTTGCAAGCCAGAAGGGAGTGGAATGACATACTGAAAGTACTGAATGGGAAAAATAGGCAGCCAAGAATACTCTACCCAGCAAGGCTATCATTAAGAACAGAAGGAGAGAATAAAGAGTCTCCCAGACAAATAAAACTAAAGGAGTCTGTGACCACTAAACCAGCCTTACAAGAAATATTAAAGGGGACTCTTCAAGTGGAAAGGAAAGACCAAAAATGACAATGAAAGTAGAAAACACAAAAGCAGTAAAAATGAATGTTTCTGTAAAAGCTCAGTCAAGGAACTCACAAAATAAAAGGATATGAAATAGGACACAATATACCTAAAACCTGGGAAGAAGAGGAGTAAAGAATGGGTTCAAACTTAAACAACCTTCAAATTAATATAGACCTTATATGCAGAAGATGTTATATACACACCTAATGGTAAGCACAAATCAAAAACCACTAATATGCAAGGAATAAAGAGAAAGAAATCCAAATATATCACTAAAAAAACCCAGCAAACCATGAAAGGAGGAGGAGAAAGGATCAGGGAAAATCTGAAACAACCAAAAAACAAGTAACAAAATGGCAATAAATACCTATCTATCAATAATTACTTCGAATGGAAATGGACTAAACATTCCAATCAAAAGACATAGGGTGACAGAATGGATAAAAAACAAGACCCATCTATATGCCACATATAAGAGATTCATTTTAGACCTAAGAACACCTACAGATTGAAAATGAGAGGATGGAGGGGCATCTGGGTGGCACAGTCCACTGAGCGTCTGACTCTTGGTTTCGGCTCAGGTCATGATCTTGGGGTCCTGGGATCAAGCCCTGCCTCAGGCTCCACACTCAGCATGGAGTCTGCTTGGGATTCTCTCTCCCTCTCCCTCTGCCCCTCCCTGCCGCTCATTCTCTCTCTCTCTCTCAGTAAAATAAATGAATAGATCTTAAAAAATAAAAAGTGAGGGGACAGAGAAACATTTCTCATGCAAATGGATGTAAAAAGACAGTGAGGGCAGTAGCAGTACTTGTATCGCACAAAATACATTTTAAAACAAAGACTGTAACAAGAGACCACGAAGGGCAGTAGATAATAATAAAGGGGATAATGCAACAAGAAGTTACAACAATTGTAAATATTTAGGCCCCCAACATGGGCGCACCCAAATACATAAAACAATAACAAACATAAAGGAACTCATTGATAATAATACAATAATAGGTTACTTTAACACCCCACTTATATCAATGGACAGATCATCTACACAGAAAATCAACAAGGAAAAATGGCTATGAATAACACACTGGACCAGATGGATTTAACAGATATACTCAGAACATTCTATCCTAAAACAGCAGAATACACATTCTCTTCAAGTGTACACGGAACATTCTCCAGAATAGACCACACAGTAGGCCACAAAACAAGCCTCAGCAAATTTAAAAAGATCAAAGTCATATTATGCATCTTTTCTGACCACAATGCTATGAAACCAGAAGTCAGCCACAAGAAAAACTCTGGAAAGACCACAAATACAGGGAAGTTAAGTAACATGCTACGAAACAATGAACGGATCAACCAGGAAATAAAAGAAGAAATAAAAAAAGTACATGGAAACAAATGAAAATGAACACACAACAGTCCAAAACCTTTGGATGCAGCAAAAGCGGTTCTAAGAGGGAAGCTTATAGCAATACAGGCCTACCTCGAGAAGTAAGAAAAATCTCAAATTAACAACCCAACCTTACACCTAAAGGACCTAGAGAAAGAACAACAAATGAAACCTAAAATCAGCAGAAGGAAGGAAATAATAAAGATCAAAGCAGAAATAAATGATGTAGAAACTAAAAAACAAACAAACAAAAAAACTGAACAAAAAGCAATGAAACTAGGAGTTGGTTATTTGAAAAAAAAATCAATAAAATTGATAAACCTCTAGCCAACTCATCAAAAAAGAAAAAGGACCCAAATAAATAGAATCACAAATGAGGAAGGCAAAATAACAAAAAACACCATAGAAATACAATTATAAGAGAACATTATGAAAAACTATATGCCAACAAATTGGACAACTCAGAAGAAATGGATAAATTCCTAGAAACATACAACCTACCAAAACTAAAAAAGAAATAGAAAATTTGAACAGGCTGATAACCTTCAAAGAAACTGAATCAGTAATCAAAAGACTCCCAACAAACTAAAGTCCAGGACAGATGGCTTCCATGAAAATTCTATTAAACATTTAAAGAAGAGTTATATCTATTCTTCTTAAACTATTCCAAAAAAAGAAAAGGAAGGAAAACTTCCAAATTCATTCTACGAGGCCTGCATTGCCCTGATACCAAAACCAGATAAAGATACCACACACACACACACACACACACAAAAGAACTACAGGCTAATATCTCTGATGAACATAGATGCAAAAATCCTCAACAAAATACAAGCAAACCAAGTTCAACAGTACATTTAAAAAAATCATTCACCAGGATCAAGTGGGATTTATTCCTGGGCTGTAAGGGTGGCTCAATATTCATGAATCAGTTCTGAAACATTACATCGATAAGTGAAAGGATAAGAAACATATGATCATTTCAATAGGTGCAGAAAACGCACCTGACAAAGTACACCATCCACTCATGCTAAAAACCCTCGACAGAGTAGGTTTAGAGGGAACCTACCTCAACAGACTAAAGGTCATATATGAAAACCCAAAGCCAAAATCAT